AACAGACTAGACTCACCGACAGCAGGTTACAACATCAATACACAATGAGAGACAATGGCAACATGATGGCTACTTATAGCAAACAAGAGGGTCACATGACAAGAACAAACCAATGGGAAACAAGACACATGCCTAGGACAACCAATCAGAACATGACATACACAAGGCAGAGATACATGAGGACAAGGGAAGCATGACAAACAGCATGAAACAATTACAAAATAAAAGACATGAAAACATGAACATGAAAAAAACACCAAACCCCACATTACATACCCCCCCCCCTCTAAGGGCAGCTCCAGACGCCCAAACAAAACCCAAAAAGTCCAGGAGGGTGGTGGAGTGGAAACAGAACTGGGGGAGGGATGGAGGGCCAGGCCCGTGAAGTGGAGCAGGCAGAGCAGGGAGCCATGGCGGAGCAGGCAGAACAAGCAGCCATGGTGGTGCAGGTAGAGCAGGGCGGCCGGGTGATGACAGCAGAGCAGGAAGCCATGGCGGAGCAGAGACATGGACAGACCACTTGACTGTGACAGAACAAGTAGAGAGTTCTTGAATGGCCTCCTTGGCCGTGAAAGGACAGACTGTGAGTTCATGAACGGTCTCCATGGCTGTGACGGTAGACTGTGAGTTCATGAACGGCCTCCTTGGCCATGGCAGGACAGGCAGTGAGTTTGTGAACAGCCTCTGTGGCCGTGACAGGGCAGACAGTGAGTTCGTGAACGGCCTCCGTGGCCGTGACAAGACAGTCTGTGAGTTCGTGAGCGGCCCCTATGGCTGTGACAGGGCAGGCAGTGAGTTCGGAAGCGGACGCCACCACCTCAGGAGGTTCTGCAGCAGATGCCGCCACCTCTGGAGGTTCTGCAGCGGATTCAGGCACAGGAAAGGCCCTTGGAACAGACTCGTGGATAGGAGAGGCCTCTGGGGCAGATTCAAGGACAGGAGAGGCCTCAGGAGCGCAGAGTGCAGCCCACACTCTCAAAATGATGACCGCCATTACAGGAAGGGCAGCAGAGTGTGGTAGGTCCTCTAAGATGGCGGGCTTGAGAGCGCTGACGTCACCGGGATGTCTGCAGCTCTCACCGACATCAGTGGTAAGTCCATCATGCTAGCTATCAGTCTTTTTAGTCTTGGCCCAAGCTCCGCGTCCGACTTGGCTGGGGACTCAGGCGTGGCTACTGAGGACGCAAATCTGCAATTTGCATACTTGGTATTGAGAAACACGAGCAGACCTACGTCACCAGAGTATTTGCCTATTCTTCATGGTACTTTTGACCACGAAGGAAACGTTGACAGCAAGGTCTGGGGGGAAAAAGTTCCTGGGACAAATTGTTCCAGGTAATTTCAGTGGAAAAGCGGCTTTAGCTGTTGACTGAGAGTTAACAATGTCCATTTCCTCTCTAGGAAGAATCCACAGAGCAGACCGGAGAAGGCTGTGAAGATGGCAAACTTGCAAGGAGTCCAGTGGCCTGTAGCACGAAGCCGGTTTCAGTTTTTACCCAGGTAAGTTCGTGTTTAGTTTGAGCAAACTCTTGAGTTTTCGGCCTCAAGAAGATGGGTTGGTGTTGAGCAGGTTTCACACCATGGTAACTTACGCTACAGCTACCCTGCTCCGGAGCAAGTTTTATTCTGGTTTAGCGATCGCAAACCCAAACCGGACCAATCAGCTGTGAGCAAAGTGACATATATCCAGTAGTGTACCGTGGGGTTTCAGTCAGGACAGATAACAGGGACAGGCTTTCTGTCCCAGTGGAGGCACTCTAAATATTATATAAACCCAGTGGTGTACCATGGGGTTTCAGTCAGGGCCTTCAGTAAGCAACTGTAAACTACATACCCTTACACATCTATCTTACACATCTCTGAAACAGCTAATACAGCCATATGCATATAATTCGCATATTATTCCGCACACAAGCTCTCAACAACAATGACAGCTGATCAGCTATTTCAAAAGTAGGCTAGATTAGGGTGGGTTAAATGCAGAGGTTTCAGTCAGGGCCTTCAGTAAGCAACTGTAAACTACATACCCTTACACATCTATCTTACACATCTCTGAAACAGCTAATACAGCCATATGCATATAATTCGCATATTATTCCGCACACAAGCTCTCAACAACAATGACAGCTGATCAGCTATTTCAAAAGTAGGCTAGATTAGGGTGGGTTAAATGCAGAGTAAATTTCCCTACATGGATCAGTAAAAGTAATCCACCAATACACGGGTCGCTATGAACATTCACGTCACTCTAAAATGACGATGCGCCCACAGCAGCAAAACTGTACAAATGCTGGACATCCACACACCACCCCACAGTATTATCAATGTATTACGTACACCTCCATAACAATATGCACTCAGCTTTCACTTGTAAATGAAGTCCATGCATCTGTCATTACAAGTCCCTTTATAACTTGTTGTGTAATAACTTGTTGTGCTCAGTGCTAGCTGTTAGCCACTCATAGCACTCAAATAGTTGCAATCTTTGAAATGGCGCACAAAACATTTGTTAGTGAATTCATAGCGAATGGGTGTAGTTTATCCTTTCTCAGTTATTCCTCTTTTGTCTGCAAAAGAGTGCCTTGAAAAGGCGTTTTTAGTAGATCAGCAACAAGATCTGGTGTAGGCACCGGCGACTGCGGCTGTCACTTTCTTTTCATTGAATTTCACTTTCATACCTTGGAAATTCCCAACTAAACGCTGGGGGTAGCACTGGGCATGTCGCTAGACCCAGAGGGCGGGCTGTCATTGAACGTCAAAATTTGATTGGCTGATGATTCTGTCACTAATGCTCGTTACAAATCAGATGCGATGTCTTTGAACAAAAGGGTAGCACTATCTGTAGTGCAGGCCGCAGATTTTTTTTATGTAGGATATTCCAGTTCAACCTCAATGAAACTAATCACAGGTTCATAGCTGATCCTGATCTAAACCAGGTTGGATTTGTTTAGTTTTGTCAACTCTAAACCTACTCTGAAACTCTGAGTTTGTTAATCTTGCTTCGTGCTACAGGCCAAAGGTAAGTGATCTGAGGTGAGATCAATGGGTAAGTCCTAGTTATCTAAAGCCCTAAACACACTGCATGATTTTCGGCTGTCCCAGATGAAACATTGGCACTGTGAAACAATCGTGGCAATTTCTGTGATCGTGGCTCCTAATCGGTGGTCCTGTGTCGTACAGTGAGAGAGGTTCAAAGACGGCTGTTGTCACAGGCTGCATTCCACTGCACTTTTAGACACGCACTCCTTCCCTAAGCACGTCCCCTCGGGGGAATCCCCGCTGCCATTTTGAAGTGCGTTCCACTTCGTGAAGTGGACGAGGGAAGTTTATATGGACAGACCCTCGACTCCTTGATTTTGACCGAGGGAGCGAGTCTGCTTCATATGCCCACTTCAGGCAACTCCACAGACCACAATGCAACATGATTGTGACGACATCGCAGTGTGTTTTGGCCTTTAAAGGAGACATATTTTGGCCCTTTTTACATATGTAATATAAGTCTCTGGTGTCCCCAGAATGTGTCTGTGAAGTTTCAGTCAGTCAGGATTCAGCCTTCTGATTCTCCTTTGAATCAGACTAATTCTAAAATGTGTACATAACATTATTGAACTTTAACGATATCTGCAATACATTTATGTTGGTTCTGTTCTGTTTACCCTGGGGGGGTTAACGCTGCTCTCCCTGCTCTCATCCATGCTAGGCTGCATGGATGCGCAGGGAGTTCTTGCCCAGAACGGAACCATACCGCCAATCCAAACTGTATGCTAACTGTCAATCATCTTTGACGATAGTGGTCCTGACAGAAATGCACTTGCGAACTTCCCTAAGCACGTCCCCTCGGGGGAATCCCCGCTGCCATTTTGAAGTGCGTTCCACTTCGTGAAGTGGACGAGGGAAGTTTATATGGACAGACCCTCGACTCCTTGATTTTGACCGAGGGAGCGAGTCTGCTTCATATGCCCACTTCAGGCAACTCCACAGACCACAATGCAACATGATTGTGACGACATCGCAGTGTGTTTTGGCCTTTAAAGGAGACATATTTTGGCCCTTTTTACATATGTAATATAAGTCTCTGGTGTCCCCAGAATGTGTCTGTGAAGCCACGTCACCAAGGGAGCCAAATCAGACACGCTCGTTTTCTCAGACGCTTGAAAAAAAAATGCTTCCCAAAACAAAGTTACTGGGTTAATCTTTTTCACGTTTCCTTGGTTGGTAGATGCACCGGGGACCTGATTATAGCACTTAAAAGTCAGAATTTCATGATCCCCTTTAAAAGTGCATCAGAATTGCAGAGGGGCAGAGCGATGTCAAACTTCTCGAGTAAAATCTCATTTAATGGCCAATTAGTTTGAACAATAGCGTTCTGTCAGCAGGCCACAGTAATTAGCAGTGACTCATGAAGAGGATATTGATTAACCAGACATGCTCCTTCATTTAACATTTAATAACTAAATCACAGCACCACCAGCTCACCTGATCAGTGAAAACACAACCATTTTCATCTGTTTAATGTCTGCTGATTCATCTCAAACATAATATCATCACTTGTTCATCTGTCAAGAACATGTTCAGATCATATTTCACAGCAAAATACAGTTTTATTTCTTAACTAAACATAAGAAACTGAAGCTTATTTCAGGACCATCAAGATTTATTTAAAATAATTGTGAAGTACTTCTATATTGTGATTGTATTTGCTGTACTAAATTATGCTGATTTAAATAAAATAGTATATTACAATATTTATTTGTTGGAATGGAGTAAAAAAATAGGATATTGCAGTAATAATAAGTTAGGTGGGAAATGTGTAATTTTTATTAAAATAATGTCACAATGCAAAAACCTTATATAATGTATTATTAATAATATAATTATGATAGAATTAAATTTATACAATGTATAATTGAATTTACAATTTAATTATGAATTATTACAATATAATGAATTATATTAATGAATATATATATATATGAATTATATATATATAATATTGGGGTGAAATATGAGCTGAAATACTGAATTTGATTCAGTACATCTTGTCCACATTGTTAAATGCACACTGGATGTAAATCCATGACTCTTACTCGGTTAACAAATCATCTAGTAACATATCACATAAATACTGTGTACATGTGCATATCCACAAAGGCTCAGTTATAATCGTGAAAAATAATATATAATTTATACAGTGTATAAAAGGTCTGTTCTATGTGTCCATGTTCTCATATATACACACTGGTTTCTGTACAGTCTGTAGTGTGATGCATCATTATTCTCTTGTTTTTGATTTTTGCGGTTTGTTTTCAGTCCCTGTGTTAGTCTGATCAGTGTTCATCTTCTTTTCTTCAATGTGTTTTCCATAAGGGGTTTCTGTAGACCCATTCGTCATCCTGCACACAGACAAACACCTTCATCAGCTTCACACCATAGAAACTCCAGAAAAACGGTTCAAATGGTTTCATCTTAGCTGCATACGAGAGATAAGCTTCACAATCTAAATGGTCCATTTTCCCCAAAGTTTTCTAATGCATTTACTTCAGATTTATAGTTTGTCAGGTTTCAAAACCAGTCTGTAACTGTAGACATGTCTGAGGCGGTTTCAGTCATGAACGCACCTCTTTGTTGAAGTATTTGGGTTTCCAGGGCATGTTGTTGGCAGCTCTCTGTCTCTCGTCTGATCGCTGGTCTTCCTCTAACACATGCTTGTGTTCAGTGGCCAGATCAATGTTTCCTTCCTTCAGCACCGCAGTCACATGCTGCCAGAGACGCCTGAGATCAAAAACACAGAATATCACAACTATATCAATGACCCCAAAATAAAAAAAGTAGCTTACTAAGGCTGCATTTATTTGTTTAAAATACTGTAAAATCAGCAATATTAACATATACTATTACAATTTAAATAGTTTACTATGTGAATATATTGTAAAAATATATATATATAGTAATCAGAGAGTTTTACCTGGACTCGGTCCGGCCCTGTTTCTCAACGGGGCGAATCATCTTCCTGATGACGGGCAGTTTGTTTGTGTCGATGACTTTGGTCTCTCCACTGCTGTAGATGAACTCCAGTGTCCCGTTCCACTCGCCCTGAGCTTTACACACCACCTTCCCGCTGGAGTTTTGCTTCACCTCTGCACTGACCCTGAACACGCACACCTTCATCATCATAATCATCATCACTCATAGACTTTCAGATTTCAGAATCAATGACATTGCTGACTGACCTGTGAACTTTGCCCCCGTAGAAGGGTTTGGTGTGGAATGTGACGTTGGCCGAGTATCCGGTCTTAGCGCAGCTGATGGTGACTTTTCCTCCGAGCTCCACCCACGGCACAGTGAGGATGGATCGAGCGTACGCACTCGGGAATGTAAACGCGTACTCCTCCCCATGATCAAGCAGGTACAACACGCCTGAAGAGCACAGAGCAAAACCCTAAAGCGCGACTGAACACATCAGCACAGATGATCCATCAGGTTCACATCACACCAAGAGTCCAACGGGAAAACCTACGCATTCACATTCACACAACACCTTTCACCCCTGAACTGAATTGTGACATAGTGAAAAGTATCTGCTACAGAAAAATCCTGGAATAAATCTCATGAAATCCGGATTCCAAGAATCTTAAAGGAGAATC